TTGGCCTAGGGGGGGATTTTATAGGGATTTTAAAGGGATTTTATAATTTTTCTAATACAGGTTAATTAATATATATTTTAATTTGGCTTTTAAATATTTATTGTATAGCTCTGTTTTTATTTACCTGTAAGCCGCCCTGAGTCCCTCGGGAGAAGGGCGGGGTATAAATTAAAGTAATAAATAATAAATAAATAAATAAATAATAAATATTTAACAATGTTAAATGACAGTCATTATCATTCTACCTTCAGTTAAGTCAAGTGCTGCAGTTTAATCTCTCAGAAATTTATCAACTATGGTTTACTGGCCAGACCAAAACATGAATCCTTTTTCACCCTCCTCTGCAAACCAATGTATAACGTGCTGGCATACTCACTGCTGAGTCCCATTCAAATGCTGATCTCTCTATATACTATAGTGCTTAAAATTACAATATACTGTTTCAATGAATCTCTTAAACTTTTCGCGTCTGCTTGGAGTAGTAGTGGTTAAATACTGTTCATTTGCCATAACATTGTTTAATGTTATTATCTAGTTCTCTTAAACCTCATCTTCTAAGGCAGGGATGTCAAACTCTCAACATCATGTGACGTGTCGCGACGTATTGTGACATTTTTCCATTGCCGGCAATGGGGTGGGCGCGGTTTCGCCATGACACATACAGCCTACAGGCCAGCAGTTTGACACCCCTCTTCTAAGGTGATCAGTTTAATAGAAAAACATGTTATTAAATTGACAATGCAAGTCATAATTCCCAATGATTTATTTTCATTAGTATGTGCTAATAAATCATTTACTTTTCAGAGGTAATTCTATTAATGCAGATATGATTGCTAAGCAATTAAGGATTATATCTACTTCCTTGTATTACACCTGTGATAGAATTCACATATTATATGCCATTATTTGTAACTTTTTTCTTCTATTTGCCAGGTTGAGCTTATCTTCTAGCATTAAAGCTTGACATCCAACTGATAGAATTTCATCAGTAAATTGCTGATGATTTCTTATATAATTACTGTATCAAAGGTTATCTGCTAGAGAAAATTAAAAACCCTAGTGAGTATGCTGTTAAAATGTTAGTCATCTCCAATATTAATTTTATTTGATATTAGTAAAATTGGTTCATGTAATAAAAGAAATACTATAGCCTACACTGAATTTTACTATTTCAAGAGCCCATAAAGCACACCATTGAGGTAAAATGTTTAACACTTTCACTGCTTCCTTTATGCTGGATTATACTGCTAATAGTCAGGAAGGATTTAGAGATTCATCAATGCAAAATACTACCCATTTAGAAAGTGAATATATTTGCAACTTTATTTCAGTTTTAAGATTAAGGCAACACAATATAAGCATATTAGAACGATTTTATAAGACAGCAAGATGACAAACATTATTTTAAAATAGTTATGGAATGATAAATACAAGCTATGCTCAGTTTAACCAGCATGCTTTCTGTAAACAAGATTACTAAAATCAGTTAACACTAAGTTATATTCTCACTGATAGATGCAGTACAAAACTGAATCTGAAAAAGTACGAAGAGCAACAGTATGTCTGGATCAAAGAAAGCAAATACTAGACGCTTTCACAAACATTAGTTTTCTTCCATTTTTAATGACAGAAATTTTCCTGACCTACATAGTACAACCCTATGAAAGAAGCATATGTTTTGTCAAAGTAGTATGATGAATACAAAATGGAAAATTTGAGCAAGGTTTTATGTTGAAATGTGTCATTCCCAGCCATAATGTTATATAAATGCTCAATGCAACATTTTATGTCAAAGAAAGGCTCATGTGCAGAATGTAAATATTGCAGAGATGTAGTAGCCCAGGTTTATCAGTGTCTCAATTACAAATGCATCCAAAATAAATTTTAGACTTCAGGAATAGTATGATCCATCAAGCTTTTCATAATACTTGAAGCCATCCTAGAAAAAAAAGTTCACAATGTATTAGCTCATAACGGAATATGCAAGTCATTCAAAATTTGCAGTATTACAAAAAGAATAGAGCAAAATATTTGCATTATCCATAAATGAGTTAGTATTAGCAGGTTTGTATAGAAAGACTGGCAGAGCCATGAGGAGGAATAAAAAGAGGGATCAGTTTAGAGTTCCTCTGCAGCCATATACCAAATGGTTGACACTTATCTAATACTAATCAGATGCTGACTACTAATTGAAAATATTCCTATGCATAGACTTTTAGCAATAAATCAGTTAATTTTGAACCCATGCACATGGACCTGGTTTTTCACATCTGAGCTATGATGTTATTCTATGAGCAAATATATGCAAAGAATTATAACTTTCATTAATATATGGAATCCTTGGTGCTCTCTGGGTTTGGTTGCTATCAAGCAGAAAAAATACCCTAAATCAAGGAACGACAGAAGAGAAAAACCACAACCCCTCAAAACTGGCAGATTGTATATAAGCAGGTAGCAAACACCACATTCACTTATATTGATTGTTATCTAGTAGAGGAATGAAACATCTGCAAGCAAACAACCAAACTCAGCACTAAGGACTCACAATTAAACCCTGAACTAAATATATTTTCTTATATTAATATGTTTACTCTTAAAAAGAAACTTCAAGAATTAAAAGTGTTAAGTTTTCAATTATTTCAGCAATAAAGTTTAGATGCTTTCCAACTTAACTGAGGATAAAGTTGCTGGAATAAGGTACAGATAATCCTCACAGTGACCCTAATTGGGAAGGCAATTATCTCTAAGCGAAGCAATCATTAAGTGAGAAATCATGTCACCACAACTGAGCTTTCTGGCTAGAAATAGACTAACTACTGTTTCATATCTACAGTTTCTGTTTGCCCCCTAACTATTCCCCCATTCTTTGGAATGTTCAAGTGCCTGCTTACTGTCTACTAAAAAAGCTTCCTTTCTTGAAGTCCATTCATCAAGGGGAGAAAAAAGAAAAGTAAAATTCGGGCATAGGACAAAATGTGCCAATAGTAATGGCGATCACATTTCTGAGGGACTGTTCCAATGGTCATAAATTGGTCAGAATTATTTTTTCAGCACTGTCATAACTTTGATCCATGAAGAAATGGTTAGTAAGAGAAGACTACCTGCATTTTATCTTCACTGTAAGTTCAATGCATTATTATCCATCCTTTCAAAAGATAAGAGCCCATACCACACATATTAAAAAATACTCATACCTTTTTATTATGTGTTCAAAGATCTGGGAAGGCATGATAGTAATGGTCACTACATTTCCAGCTGTTGATAATATGTCCGCAATTTGAGAATCCTGGTAAACAAAGTATAAAAGTCATAAATTCTTATAAGGTTTGAAGTTGTTTAGATAACCACAATGGTTTTAACTTTGTTTTAGTCGAACTAGTTCAAGGGTGAATAAAATAGTTTATTTAATAGTTTAAATTAAAAGTACACTCACAGGCAAAAGATAGTTTCAGATTATGTAAGAGATGACTGCTATCATTACATGCTACTAGATCTTTAAAGCAAGCAAACTAACAGCAATAAAGTCATGCACACAACTACAATTCTGCAGATGAATATGTGAACATATATTCTTTTTTTTTATCAGCAAGAGGAACCAGCAGCTCTTTAGAAGAAAATACCAATTGAGCAACCAGAATGGACTGCTGAAACTACATGGAAGTACTTCCAGAAAAAAGTAAAGACAGAAGAAGCTGACTAAAAAAAGGCTGTAATCAGTAGTACTAATCTTTACTAAAGGCAGAAACCTGCATCACTATATAGAACATATAGTGGCTGCTATTGCTTTCTTGTTTTAAAATAGGAAACCATATACAGTGGTACCTCGGTACTTGTGCTTAATTGGTTCTTTACCATAAGGAGTAATGTAATTAAATTTATGCATCCCCAAACCAAAGGCAATGCACATTTTAAGGCAATGTCAAAAGATAGGATTGTATATCATTACATGATAAATAAAATTAATAAAATTTATTAAAATTAATAAACATTTCGATTAAATTAAATAAAATCTCCACTTCACCTGTACTGATGAGAAAAACAATGTGCAATGTATCATTTTGTGCAAAAATACACAAAATGACCACAGAAGCTAAAAAAAGATTGCAAGGGGATGTGCACAGGGCAAGAGATACTGTGTGACTAATCCATGAACGTTTGTTTCAGCTGGAAAGGGTAGCAAATCATGAGGCAACTGATACCAATAAGGTATAGCTTGCATGTGGAATACCAAACAAATGAGTACCAGGACAATTTTTTTTCGTCAAAATATGTCAAGGACCAAATTTGATGAGTTTCAAAGCAGTCAAATGCCAAGGTACAACTGTATATTACTGATATGCTTAGAAATGAGGTTCTTTGGCAATTTAATTGATTAGAGTACCATATATTTACAAAAAACGTATCATCTACCTTCAGGCCAATTACATTCTGTCCATTAATTTCACAAATGTTGTGTTCAGTAAGAAGTCCATTTCTTGCAGCAGAACTATCCTTTACTATTGAAGTTATTTTTCCATTTTTGAAAATAAAGCCAACATGTCCTGTGCTGTCCTTGTGCGTGGTAATAGTCCGTTCAAAAGGCCTAGAAGAAAAATGTTTGTACTTCAATACTATAAAATTTACCGATGTATTACTGAACCACTGTCCACAATAAAATTAACCCCAAATTTATTGGCTGTGCAGAAGCTTATTAAGATAACAATATAGATTGCACAGATCTTACTAATATATTAATATAATTAAGGTGATATACAATGATCCTGCAAGTTTACCTGTCTCGGATAATCATGGAAATTCTTCCCCCAGGAGCTTGCTTCAGAATTTTATGAGCTTTATCAGAAGTCCATCCAGCACAATTTTCACCATTGATTTGGAGAACCTGGTCTCCAAATCGCAGGCCAGCCAGTGAGGCCGGGGAGTTTGCCTGAACCAGCTGAGCAAATACACCCTAAAACAATAATGTTTGCAAGTTTAGGTGCATGCGGATATAATTCCCGTATACATTAAAAGCAGAGGAGAAATATATGAACAAATCTATCATTTTTCTAAATAAGCAAGTCTCAACATTTTATTAACATTACTATATTACAAAGATTACATCCTTCGGTCCCTAAATTTAATTTTAAAAATGCATATTTAAATTTAATAAAATTTATTAAGCTAATATTAGTTCTCTGATTACTCTATTAATTTTATTACTCATGAAAATGTTTAATTTTTAAAAAGTTAGGAATTTCTTTCTGACTCATAAACCTTTTTCATTTTTTAAAATATTTGTTGCTGCCCAACTCACATATATTGAAAGTCATATAGCAGACTAAGGGCTGAAAGATAAACTATAAAGTTATGTAACAATTTGTCTATTTTGAATTCTAGCATGAAAACATTATACATACATTGTCCACTGACTTAAGACGAAGACCAATTTTTCCATCCTGATCTTTACACAAGATCAGTTCACGGATCCCTTGTTTAATTTCTGCTCGACGAATTCCAACATCATTTCCAGTTACTGGAGCTACCATGTAATCTGATGCAGGTCTTGCAACAAGCTATGGAGTACAAAACCAATCCCCCCCAAAATAAATTAAAAATCATCACAAATCCTATTATCAGATATAGATCTTTGATGTAAATGTGTCAGACCTATGTGTGGTGTTATAGTAATATTTTTAGCATCTATAAAATCACAATTATGACAAAGATTCAAGTAAATTCAAGCTGAGCAAATACATCCACTGTTTTAACATAGCACATGTAAGTTTTTTTGTTATGACTTTTTCAATTATAGGGGAGGGAATACACAATAAAGTATCCCATCTTTATTTCCCTTTTTTCGTGAGTAATTCAATCCCTCAAAATCAGGAAAGCCCAAAGGAATCCCTATTCTCGGTTATGACACTTACCCCCTGTGAATTTGCTGCAGGAACCATTGCCAGGTTTCTCTGAATTTCCTCATCATTCAAACTTATACCCATATACTGGGAAAGTTCAGGATACAATTTAGGGTATAAATCTAAAACAAGTAAAAAAAAAGTTACTATAATCTTGCTACAATGGTAGTTCTGTCCCCTCAGTTATACCCTTGGCAAAATCAACAGCATGCCTCATATTTCACCAATCTTATCCTTTGGAATTTTAAAAAACTTAACACACTAGTTGGAGGTACTAAATTCACTTACCTGAAGCTTACTTTGATACCTCAGCAACACTACATTGTCTTACAATGATTCTACACTACAGAAAATGGTTTTCTGTTTAAAAATAAGACAACAGGTCACAAAATGTATACTGCACTCCTTTGTGTTCAAAATTCCAAACTGATTATATAAGCATTTCAAGAAGTTTGATTTATTTTTATAACAAATGTGTGTATATAAATTGATACTATCATTCTCAGAAAAAATAAAAAACAATGTATTTCAAGTACACATTATAAAATATAGAACATCACTGAGCTTTTTTCTTCAAATTAAAACCTGCAAAATTCATTCATTTTGAGATAAGGCAGAATTTATCCATAGACAGGATTTCAAAGGCTAGAAAATAAATATATGCTTGGATTATGAAAGTAAGATCATATTAAGAGCAAAACATGTAACAATCAATTAAAAGTCCTTCTACAATCAATGAAATTTATATAAAGTATCAAGCATTTTTCAAATCTTATAGCAACTTACTTCCATCTTGTAAGATCGGTGCTGAAGCTTCAGATAGAATTGCTGGGTTAGCTGGGTTTGAGGCAAAGGATGTCTGAGCCTATACAGAAATAGGATTTTAAAATGTAAGGATTAAACTACATAAAAATATAGAACATTTTAGAGTCAGCTCTTGATAACTTGTTAGCAACTGTTCAAAGTTACAATGGCACTGAGCATAAGGTACTTATGATTGGTCTTCAAAGTCTGGTCATCCCAGCACCCCCATGATCACATGATCACAATCTGGACACTTGACACTCAGCTTACACTTACAATGGTTGCAGAATCCTGCGGTCACATAGTCACCATTTGTGATCTCCCTGCTAGTGTCCCACAAGCAAAGTCAATGGGGAAGCCAGTAGGGAAGATTACAAGTTGGTCCTGTTAAGTTGCTTCCACAGCTTTTTCCCCCTAGGATCCTGGTTTATTGGAGTACAAGATTCTGGGAATCTTATTGTAGTGTACTTATGAACTGTACTGTAGTAGTTAGAATACAGTATTGCTGGCTAACTCTGCCCACAGCCAGGAGTTCGATCCTGACCGGCTCAAGGTTGACTCAATCTTCCATCCTTCTGAGGTCAGTAAAATGAGGACCCAGATGGTTAGGGGCAATATGCTGGCATTTGCAAACTGCTCAGAGAGTGCTGTAAATCACTATGGACCAGTATAAAGATCTAAGTGCTATTGCTAGTGTGTGCATAATTATAACACTCCCTGCCTAGACTATATTTATGTCCAGCAATGCTTGCATGGCAACCACTGGCACATCTTCCCTCACCTGGAAGCAGCCACCTGCGACTACTGACACAGCATCCTCACTTGGCAGCAACTACTGATGGGCACAGATGCACTTTCCCATTTCCAGTAGCTGCCAACCCAAGCCCTGTTATCTTCATGTAGCTCTGTGGCAGATACTGATGCATCTTTCCCAAAATGATAGCAGCCACCCTCTACCCAGCACAGCACAGCAGCCCTTTATTTGACTGTCAGCCTGTGAGCCACCGAAGGCTTGCAACTTCCTGTGGGCTTCCTCATTAACTTTGCTTGTTGGAAGCATGCAGAAAGTTGTGAGGAGATCTTTTCTTTATTACCTGTGATCCTTGCTTGACAATAGCAAAAGGAACTGCTAGGATTGCTATTCCTAAGTGATGCGATCATATGATGTTGCACTTTATGATAGTGATAGAACTTCCACCCCCAGTTGCTATCATTAAGCAAGGACTACCTGTATATTTTTAAATATACATACGTATACACACACACACACACCCCTAAACACACACCCCTAAACACACACACACACACACACACACACATATATATATATAATTAAATGAACATTTATAAGATTTTGTAATTTTTCTCAATTTCTTCATTATGTAAGATGCAATTTTAAGAAGCAATTCTCCAGATGCTCAACTAGATCTGAATCAATAGTAAGAACCTTGCCTTTTTATTTTATTTCAGTGCAGTCACAATTAGCTGTGCTTTTATAACAGTTAAATTCACAAAGGAAAGATGGGAAGATAGATAGTTTTGATCAGAGAAACAGTGAGATAAAACGGTTATCCAACACGGCTTTCCTGTCTAAAACATTTTTGAAGCTTAAAATAAAAAGCTTAAAACATGCTCCACCCATTGCATAGCTTGACTATAACAACATTGTATTCCACTTCCCCTTCTACTTGATTTCACAAAATGTAAAAATACTAGATGCAACAAAAGCAGTAAGAACAAAGGCGCTTACAATCTCTACTTCTATGTGCACCATGACACTACAATGTTGATAAAGAGACAAAAAGGAACACTAGCTTAAATGTCAATACAGTAAATTATAACTTTAAAAAAAAGGGTTCTCCACTTTCTTCCAGGAATTGAAGCTGGTATAAATGGTCTTCCATCAAGTACTCAAGGCTGAAATTTTGATTCAAGATTACCCGATGAGCTTACTGACATTTAGAGTTTAAGTCCTACTGACATTTAGAATTTAAGTCCGGTCACTGGAGTTCTCATCTAACATTAATCCTGCAACAGGCATGGACAACTTTTGTCCAAAAGGCTTAATGCAGTCCAAAGATCTCATGCAACCTACATATTTCTTAGGAAAGTCATCACCTCTAAAAGTTTCTCCCTGTTTTCTTAGCTCTTATCTTATACTTAACATCAGTTTAGAGGTAAGGTTATTTGACCAATCTGTCAGACTTTAAAATCACCTCTATTATTATTGATACTGATTTTAAAGTTTTATTGTTTTTCCATTTAGTGGAAGGTCAACACTAATGAAAGAGTTTATTCTTCCCCCTGCAATACTACATTATCTCAATAAATTAAGTTTTAAAGCTGCAATCAGACCTTAAAATTAGCCTCCATAAGTAAACTATGGCAGGACCACATGGGATGACTTGCCCAGAGCATTCAGTTTAACAATTCTTGATGAAATCATATCTCTGGTAAATCAGAAAACATTCTCTAGCATTATTCAAAGGGATGGATAATCCCATCCTACTCACCAGGCATGACAGATTAAGAGAACTACTCATATCAACGTACACCTGAGCAATTCTGGATATGGAAATGTTCTTCAATTTCTTAAACAGGCTAGCTAAAAGAGCTTCTAGAAAAAATGTGGGTTTCATCTCTCCAGATGATTTTTGGGGTGTGTGTGTGTGTGTGTGTGTGTGTGTTCTCTCCAGATGATTTTTGGTGTGTGTGTGTGTGTGTGTGTATATATATATATATATAGGTCTTTGCTTATTCGGGTTTTCTCCCGCGTAAAATTAGAAGTGTCTTGGCGACGTTTCGACGAAGTCACATTCGTCATCTTTAGGCTGGTGTCTTCAGCTTCGTGCTACTCCTAGAAGCACGAAGCTGAAGACACCAGCCTGAAGATGACGAATGTGACTTCGTTGAAACGTCGCCAAGACACTTCTAATTTTACGCGGGAGAAAACCCGAATAAGCAAAGACCTACATACAAACACCCGCGAAAACCTCAGAAAACATATATATATTTGTGTGTGTGTATTAATAAAACTTAATATTTATATCGCAAATATTTTTAAATTACTGTGATACTTCAGAAATCTCAAAATCCAAATTTTACCCACAACAAAAGTTTATTATAAAATATATTTTGTAATACCTGAATTACTTTGTCTACCTTCAGGTCTTCCAGAGAAGGATACAGCGACATTTTCACTGGAGGAAAAAAAGTTTTTAAATAAGCAATACAAAATTCCAATGTCGATTCTAAGTACAGTTGTAAAAAATTATTAACAGCCACAATTCGATATTCATTTTTTATTTCTAAATTATTACATTCATTTTTATTTCTAAAAAATGTTATTTACTAGAATTATATTTACTTAATCTTGAGTAACATGGAGCTCATGTGGTTAGGATGCTGCATTGAAGGTTAGCAAGCCCGTGTTCTCGATCCACGTGTTGCCTTGGGTGGGTGAGCACTCCGTCCTTTGTTCCAGCTCCTGCCAGGGACCTGAAAGGAGCCCCCAACCAGGCATCCCCCCGGCAATAGTAATGTCACCAGCTATCCTTTCAACCCGGAAGCACCTCAGTGATTTTGAGGAGATGCGATCTTGAGTAACAATAATTTAAAATATTCATGTTTTATATGTATAAGTATAAGCTGCACAATTAAGAGTTACAACTGATGTTCCTTTTATTCATGTTAATAGAGTATTTGGGGTCCAACACTTTTAAGCAATTGCTATGACTCATTCCAGCCCTTTCGTTTACTTCTTTGAGTCATGTCATTCAGATCTTTATTTATATAGTTAATTTTATAAATAAACCACTCCCAGCATTCACATCTAGGAAATGATGGGTTGAACTGTAAATCAAACAAGTGCAGAATACTTCCAAAATTTTAAATTAACTCTTTTCAATATTTTTTTCTAAAACTGAATATTGTATTCCCCTTTCTGATCAGACTGGAGAAAAAGAAAACATCTGTGTATGCATGAACATATGTGTATCGGTCAAAAAATACTGCTTTGGTATTTCGGTTGGCTAGTCAGCCTCTATCTGGACTTGCCCCAACTCTCCCAGCAAGTGCAGGTTATTTGAAAGAGAAGAAGGAACACAGCTTTCCAAATAGTTCAAGAAAGCCAACAAGCATAGAATTAACAGTATCTTAGTAGGCAGAGTTTAAGTGGACTTTGACGAAGTCTTCACTAAAGCTCTCAAGAGTATATATTGGTCTTGGGATAAAAGGGGAAGTCTCTTACAGGCTGAAGGATAAAAAGGGGGAATTGGGCCGAGACAGTTCTCAAAATGTATATAAACATTGGAATCCCCAATAAGCCTAATTCTTTTTAACTTGTTCCTAATGAACCTAGAGTTAGGGATGAGCAATCTAGTTTTTGGGGGTTAGGGAGGAGAACCCAAATAATTGAGGAATCAGATCTGGCTTTACTGTTAGGCAACATGAAGCTGCAATCTCAGATTTTGGGCATCAATGAAAATACAGGGGGAAAAAAAGTTTTGTTGCTTTATTTCACTGCTGGTTAAAATCCAGAAGACTTGTGTGACATAATGTTGGTTATACTAGTAGGTACCTTGATCTGAATAAATGGAGAGACACGATAGAATAACCCTTTGGATAACAAAGTATTTTGTGGAATTAATAGAAATTAGATCACTCAATACCTCCTTAATACCTCCAAATGGATCTTTCCAAACTAATTGAGAGGCATGACAAAAGTGAAGTATATTCAGCCCAAAAATCCTTACTTTATATTCACTGAATTCACACTGACAATGACTGACCAAGAAATGGTCATGGACTTGTAGTAGATTGCAATCTACTACAAAAAAGGATAAATTGTCATTTGCAAAGAAGGGTAAACTGTACATTAGAAATTATCAGAAAAAGAAATGAAAATATGCTACTTATGATTTCAGTTATTTTTCAGTTACAGACATTATAACATCTGTAAAATAACTGGCATGGGATAACATTCTCATTCTGGTAACATCTAAAGGAAAAATTGTAGAGATGAGAAAGATTACACTGGAACTCTTTATTTTAGCAAGAAGCAAAAAACCGGGAATATATTAGAAATGTATAAACATAGTGTATGTATAATGTAAAAAAGTAAACAAGTTTTTTAATGTCAACCTTGCTGGGTAATCCTGGGCCTGTCACTCTCATCTGGCTATTATGAGGAAAAACAGAAAGAGAGAACTATCTGAGGTTGTGTACAAAAGGCTGTATATGAATCTAAAAAAGTAAATATATCCAGGGTTTGCCTGACAAACTGAACAGAGAATACACTCAAGATAGTTTAAACCTATGGACTTCACTCCAAAAGAATACATTGTTGGCAAACCACCTGGATTATTTTACGGGGAGGATTAGTCAAATTCATGGAAAATAAACTTATCAGTGACAAGTTATTCATAATGTTTTTGTTACTTCTAATAATAATTATAATAAATGACAAGAATACATTATAAGCAATTGTTTGTTTTAAATTGTTTAAATGTTTTGCTTTAAATTGTTGCTTTAAATTGTTGTTTGTTTGCTTTAAATTGTTTAAATGTTTTATGAGTTGAAAATATTTTCTGCCTCCTTGGAGAAGTAAAAAACAGCATATGAATTTTTTTCAATTCAAGGTGTGCCATCTTATATATATACTATTCAGAAGTAACAACTGGAATCATAACTCTAAAAGCTTCTGCCAGAAGCAGAATTTAATTTCAAACTTCATAAACTTATACTGTTAGAGTTAATCTAAAACTATTAGTAAAAATCTATTTATGCAAATAATGGATAATTGTATTTTTTTAACAATACATAACTTTAATAAAATGAAGGGAGTAGTACTTCAAGATAGCAAATGCCGTGATTCTGTTCACCCATGACAAAACACTGTATGCTAAATGCTCTGTTACTGGAAAAAAATAAAAATTCATTCTCAGAACATAAGCCAGGGGAACTTGTTGCTTTCCAATTATTTTATTTCAACCTCTTCAAACTTTCCCAACATGATCAATGGCAAAAGATCTGAGTTCAAGTTCAAGCCCTCACAGTCCTTAGGTTATTCCATCTAATTCATCCAATTCTTCCAGCATGATCGATGACAAAATATTGTTTATGAGTTGAAGTTCAAGTCTTCACAGAAGTTAAAGTTATTTTAATCCATAAACCACGTTCTACACTAAACCGTAATGGCTAGATTCACACAATATACTACACCAAATCGGAGTTAGCTTTAATATGATGTATGAATCAGGCCAATATCGATTCGGCCCCTCTTACTAAAGGATCGTTACGGTAATCAAGGCGCACCTCCGCGTAAGGCAGGGGTCCTCAACCTTGGCAACTTTAAGACTTGTGGACTTCAACTCCCAGAATTCCTCAGCCAGCTTTGCTGGCTGAGGAATTCTGGGAGTTGAAGTCCACAAGTCTTAAAGTTGCCAAGGTTGAGGACCCCTGGCGTAAGGGAAACCAATTCTCACAAAAAGCGCAATTACTTCCTTCTTTCCCGCTTACGCAAACAAGCTACGTAATGAAACCCAAGGGTTCCTTCACGCCCTCTCTTCACCATCCGCCTCAGAGCTCTGCGAAGCTTTCCGACGGCGCCCATAACGAGGCCCCAGAGACCTCCAGCGCCCCTCCTCTCTTCTTTTTCCCAGCCCGGTTTTCGGCTCCCATAATTGAGGGTGGGTTTCCGCCCCTCGCCGGAGGAGGAAACCGGGCCCCAGTTCCCCAGCCGCCCCCCCCCCCACGCAGCGCCGCTCAGAAGAGCGGGACCCGAGCCAGGTTGCTCCCCTTCCTTCCCCCGCGCGGGAATGAGGGGAAGGGCTCACGTCCCCTCCGGACGGCGAACTCCACACAACGAAGGGCGCGGTCCTGATCGGTCGGAGCCTTAAACCTGAGAGCGGAAGGCGTGGACAAAGGACCCCGCTTTCTGCCGATCCGGAGGGGCGCAGATCTCCCTATTTCCCTCCTCCCTTAACGGGACGGGCCTTTCACTTAACGGCTCGCTATAAGCCCGGCGGGGCTCAGCCTTCCCGGCTCTCCTTTCCTTTGTGGGAAAACCTGCCCTTCAGAACCCACGAAGAAACCTTTAGGCGCCCGCCCGCTCGCTTCGGCCCCTGCGCCTTGCTACACCCCCCCCCCCCCACGCCGTTCACACAGAGCGGCGGGCTGAAGGACAAGATACTCACCGGCTGGCGGGCGGGCGACCGTAGTAATCTGGAGACCGTTAAGCGCTGAAGCGGCACCTCTCGTTCCGCCTCCCGGCGTTGCTTCGGCGAAGACTGAAACAAGCCAGGCAGAGGAGGCTACGGTGCTCATGCGCCACTCGCAGAGACCTCGTGACGTCTGACGAAGCCGCGTAGGGGAGAGTTTGGAATTAGTCAGATTGTTTGTGGGTCGGAGTTGTGTGTTTGGGAAGTTAAGCAGAAAAGGAGTTTCCCCTTCGCCCTGGGTTCCTCAATCAGCGACAGACTGATACTCAGAACAAGGATTTTATAGTCCAGATTTTAGACTTATGTGATCTGTACCCTATCTGGGAAAGAAGAGATGAGGGCAGATCTTTCTTCCGATATCTCATTGAAACAACTGGGGGGAAAATCGCTAGCAGATTGCCAGTGAAAGCTCCCAGAGAATATGAGCTTTAAACTGACAAGGCACTGTATTTTTGTGAAAGTAAACTATCATCAATATGCTGATGTGCTTGATTACACATCTGTGGCGCTTGCTTGGATTCCATGCACTATCTGGGGATCCTCTTGGATTCACAGTTCCTGCTTGAAGAACAAAGTTCTGTATTGTGTGCCAGTTGTGCTTATTCCTGGATTGGGGTTCCTATCACAGTCACTCAGGTTTGGTCATGTCAGTAATTAAGGCAACAGGCTGGAAACTAGGAGTCTGTGAGTCCCACCTTAGGCATGAAAGCAGCCTGGATGACTTTGGACCAGTCATTCTTTCAGCCCAACCCACCTCACAGGATTGTTGCGAGAAAAACAGAAGGAAAAACAGGAGTATTGGGCATATAATAAAGGCAATATAAAAATCTAATAAATAAAATAAATTATTTCAATGCACTCTACATAGGGTTGACCTTGAAGACTATTTGGAAATTTCATTTGGTCCACAATGTAGCAGCACAAATAGTTTTGGGTGTCTCTAGTTAGGTCCATATAACAGATCTATTCTGCAACCTACACTGAATCCCAATAAGTTTTCATATGCAATTCAAGGTATTTATTATCACATATAAATCCCTACATGGCATAGGACTTGGTGGTTTATGTGATCACCTGCTTCTGCGATGTCTGCCTTTTATTTCCAATAAAAATGTATACATCAACAATACAAAAAGAATAGAAGATATTAAAACTAATTCTGAACAAAACTTTCCTCAGAGATATAATGAGGCTAAATTATATAATCATATCAATTGGTAGTAGTTTCTCTTTTTAGTATGTCAGAAAAAAAAAGCCAAAAAATCTGCAAAGGCTTAAATTAAAAGCCCTCACAAAAAGCACTGCTAAAGTACATCCATACAGACTACTTATTCGTAGTATAAAGACATTTCACTTGAGGACATCACCTCAACGGAGCCTACATCTTATAGACTACCTACTGCTTAGGTCCAAAGTATTCCGACATGTTTCCCTTGGAATACAAAAAAACACCTCACATCCATACAATCCATGGTACATAGAGGAATTGGCTTGAAGTGGTGTGGTTGATGGGGATGATGTGTTTGGCAGCAACTGTATGATGATACCACTTCTTTCCATCTGGTCTCTTTGCTTGATGCCTGCTCTGCAACGCTGCTTGGGTGGCAAGGGATACTGGAACCATTTCCTTTCCACTTTGTTTTTCTTTTTTAATGAGGTTGATTGGTTGACCATCAACCCTGAGAGTGAATCTTCGAAGCTGAGCAGCCCATTCCTGGCTTCATTCAACAAGAATAAGCTGAACATGTCTCTAATACACTCAAAATCTCTTGCTTGAAACACTTACATAGCAGCTACATCTGGGCCACACAAGCTCATGTGGCCACTTTGCTGCAGTTAAGAGAAACACATGCTTTGAAACCACCTCACACTCATTAGTTAATAGGATGATAGTCATCGGGAGAAGAAATAACATGACTGGATAGAGCACATAGACTGTGTAAGTGCCCTTGAAATATATTGCTTATTTTGGTGGAGGAAGGCTTCCAGTCACTTCCAATACAGCGTTGAATGAGAAAGCAGTACAAAATGGCCACGTTTCAGATGCATATTAAGGGCACAATGTAAGATCAAAATGATTTATGCCAATTTGGTTTATTCCCACTTCTAGGATGGGAAAAAAGCACAGCAAAGCTGCTTGTAAATGAGTCATTAGTTTGTGATGACACTTGATGGGTATTATTATTGTTGTTATTACCTCTATTGTTTCATTTGTAAAGAATTGAACTATTACTGCATCTTTTTTTAGCCCTTACCTTGCTGATATCTTCCTGCAAATTTCCATCTCTTGCCTGTGGAGAGGGCCTGCTTAGAATTGCTGTTAATTTTTTTTTCTTGGGCTATTGCTATCAGTGCAGTCCCTCTTTTGTATGCTTAGTTTGGATGCTAATTTATACATTGGAAATATGTTAGTATTGCTTTACAGGAAAAAAAGACTAACTATCACTACATGTCCTTACTAATTTTTATCCTGAAATATGTGGATTAATTTTGTTATGGGTTGCTTCACAGATTATCATTCCTTTTTTTTCATTGAAGCATACATGGATGGAAGATGAGATCTGAAAGTAGTATGGTTTTCTGAATTACATTAAAAGATTAACTTGACAAGTTTGCTCAATAGAATACATTATTTTCTAAGTGAGTCTCATGACAAACTGTTTCTCATAGTTCATTTGATACAGATCATGCAAATGAAGAAAGAAAATTTCTGCTTTTGATCAGCTGACTTTTTTAATGTCAAGGAGTCTACAGCTCAACAAAATGCATGATTTCAATTTATTTCCAAGCATAGCCTAGATTGTTATTATTTTACTATGTAATACTCAATAATTTTACAGGATAGTAATCCCAGTCCCTCAAATATATCCGAGGCTCAGTTGATACATACTAATATATCATAAACTGGGTTGAAATCCATTTTGATCATACTAAATACTAGTCCCCTTACCTGGAAGGAAAACAACCTATCATTTCACCAGAATTTACAATATCTCCAGCCAGTTTCCCCATTGATAGTAAATATTTAATAGAATGTGCACATTCATCTACATCAGGAGTGTCAAACTCGTTGTGTCGCATGACGTGTTGCAGCGTACCACAACTTTTTTTGCATTGCTGGAGCTGGGGTGGGCGTGACCTCCATATGATGCAACCGGTCCGTGGGCCGGCAGTTTGGCACCTCTGATCTACGTGCTCTATTCTTTTGCTTTTATACATAACTTACAATTGCTGATTTCATTTTCCCAATCAAATAGAATTCTCTTGCTCTTTAATACATTAATTTCCAGAGCCTAATTGCATTTTAAAATCTATCTAATATTTCTATACATCATTTCTATACATCTATTTATTCTCATTTTCTTATAAATTATTTTCTTAAGGAATCTGAATTTTGTTTCAGAACATTGCCTTCAAATTTAGCTTGCCAGAGGGTAGAATCAGAATGCTTCCTATGAATGATGACATTGCTGCCTTGTTACAATCAGTGAATTTGTATTTGTAAAGACTTTTGTATTGCCTTTCATAAACCTCTGGAATATTATAATCTGGATTGACCATTATCAAAATCATTAGAAACTTATTTTATTTTTTATTTATTTTTTGGAAAATTATGTAGAGAACTAAATATTTATACAGTCTTCAATTATATAACTATCATTTGTTTTAAATGTAAGTGTTGGAATAGGTAGCATTCACACTCACATATAAACACACACAGAGAATGTGTTTAATGTTTGAATGTTTTTCTTTTCTTTCACCTATTTTAATTTGTCATATCCTTTTTCTTTCCTTTTGCAATTCTAACATTAATTTCTTTCTAGTATTTTTCTTTCCACCCCCATTCTTCAAAAATGCATGTAAATATTTTACATCATGACTGGCTTTCAAGCTCTCAGGCAAACCACACAGGAACTATTTTAACTCCCTCTCCAAATGAATTTAACATACGCTTAAACGATTCACTAAAATAAGTATCCCAGTGTTTGGATAAAGCTTGAATAAATATTTGCTCAATAATTTTAGTTACATAAACAGTATGTTATAAAAATATTTTAGTGTGTTATATTTTTTAGATTTTTTTAATCAACCAAAACTGTTTGAGTATACTGTACATTTGCAAATAATAATAATGTAGAATGAGTTCTTACTCGATTTAAAATTAATGATAATTTATAGGTTTTATAGGTTGCTGGGTATTCTACCAGAAAAACCTTCTCAAATTTGAAACCTTTGAACTTGGCAGAAAGAAAAACGGGAAAAACAGTATTTATGTCATGAATGGTCTTGCATCACTCTCAGCTCATCTTGTTCTGCTTATTCAATGTCAGATTTCTGACTTCAAGAAATAACTACTGTTGAAGTCCCCTAACACTAGAAGGAAGTATCCGAGGATAAGCTTCTGTCTTTCTATCTCTACCCTCGTGATATCTGAGAATCCAGTAACTTTCAAAAGATATGAGATTCTTATTTAGAAGAATGTAGCTTAGGTCATTCCTGTTCCATAAAAATGGTTGAAGGACTTTATTTTAGTTACACTTCCTTTAAATATATAAGCAAGCTGGTGTCCAAGGACAGGATATAAATTTTCTCTTCTAAATTTTAAATTATCTTAAAAAGATGATATAAGCTTTCCTTTTTGTGCAACCTCCCTGAAAGTTTAGATTAGCTCATGGTCTGTATAAACTTTCCAAGGCTTTTAAAATAGTTTTATTTCAAAATTACAAATAACAAAGTTTCAGAATTCCAAAGTACAAAAATACAAAAGATAAAGAATGAAATGTTTTAATAGCCTGGTATTTAATACCGCAATCTAAGACTAAGTTATTATACCTTTTTTATGCAAAGAGTAGTGGTGGGACTTAGGTTTAATCATGTTTAAATAATATTAAATTAAATTAATTAACTATAATAATAAAATCTCACCTTATGTAATAATAATTTTCTCCTTTTGCCATAAAACTTGGGTGGCAACTCTGGAAGAGCTTTCATGGGTTACTAGCATCTGGAATTTCAGGTTTTTCATTTTTGGCAAAATCTCTAGTGGTCTGTGGCTAAGATAGACAAAACTAGACTATGTAAGGAAGTATTAAATA